TTTTTTTTTTTCTAAATGCCAAATGCGAAAGAAACGGATTTAACATCTCCGCTTATTAGTGAATTATTTTCGATCTTTATAATTACAAAAAACCAAGATGGAAAAACATTAAAAAATCTAAAAGCAACCTCGAGATTTTCTAATGTCAATCCGTACAAATTAGGATTCTATCCACTCGATTCAAACAAAATTTATTTTCCATACATCGAATCGAAAAATGCGATCGTTACACAGAAACCGAGCATCATAATAAATGATTAATGACGCAGGAATTAAAATGTATTTACTAAGTATTAACTGCTGAAATGATGGTAGTGTAATGCCTAGAGATTCATTATTGGATATGAAACCATGACGCGCGAGTAATGCAGGGGCGATCATGGTCGTATAATCCTTGGAAATTCATTATCGGACTGATTAAGCATGAAACCATGCGCTGGACACGGCGGTATTGCAGAGCGTAGTGCCAATGATGAAACTGATGGATGTGAATCCAAGTTTCTATTCCTGATATCCTCAGGGTGTGGGCATCTACCGTACATAGCGTTATACAAATTATGTATTCTTCTTTGATTAATTATAGATTTCTTCTTGATGGGCTTCTTTCTTTTGTTCCCTGGCATCAGGTTTGAATCTTTGACTATATATAAGTATAAAAAGATCAAAGGTCTTATATAGTCAAAGGCTTGAATATCGTAATGTAAGAAGGGTATTATGCATATGTTACGAACAAAAACGAATAATTATGTCCTGGTGGTGATTAACGCGACGCGACGCTCGCACAGCGAAATTAATTACAATGCGATAGAAATCGTGAGATATTCGGATCCGTTGATCGGGAATTCCTTATTTTCGCACTGGCGCGACGATGATAACACGACGAACTGACACGACTGCTGATTCCTAAACAATATCGCTAACGAATTAATTTTGAACGCTACGTGCGAATATCGCGCGCGTATTCAAATAAGTACGAAATATTTATCGGATTTATTTGAACACATGTTTGAACAAGATATGATTGGCAAAAGAAAATTATGTTAGTTAAATCACAATTACCGTTTTTATTTTCACACACAAACGTTCAGATTAATATGACACAAAACCATGAAAAATAAACAGTTTTTATCGATTTCACATATCTATTTTCCAAAAGTTGAAGGAACATTATATTTATTACTAAAAGCGAGCTAAACTATGAGATTGAGGAGTAAAAGATAAAGCTCGAAACTATTATGCATAATACTATTACTAGTTTTAAATTAATCGGAGCGTCATCGTAATTGCATTAGAGAGATTTATTCATTATTCTGTAAATTTCAAGTTATTATCATTAATTTCTTATTTCCTATTAATTTCTTATCTCCTTGCGTTTCGATCATTGTTACGTTATCAAAATGTAACAATATCATGTTTATTTATACATAAAAAGAGAGAACACGATTATAACATCGTTTTAACTTACAACATAGGCATACGACGCGATAATAGGCACACGCGTTATGACGAACATAATAAGATAAAATAATAGGAATAATACGCAATATATACTCGTTGTGACTGCGATAGGCGCGGAAATCGTGTTACAGCAGTAAAAAATATTATACATATAAAAAAAGACGTAAAAAATAGTCGCATTTGTTCGAATCAAGTGACAAATATATAAATATATAAAAAATAAATAGGAATTATATTCGAGGAAAGCCGAACTCCGGTATATCTATACGGAAAACCTTCATAGCGCATTTCATCTGACGACGGCGTAGTTTGGGGTCGGCACATTTATTGTTCCCCAGAAGAGGATGAGCTTCGTGGGGTTGTGCCTAATGAAAAACATGAAAGGCCGGTTGGCGACCAGCCTGTTCTGATTATAATTTTTGCGCTGAAGCCAAAATGTGGTCGTGGTCGCGGCCTCTGTCCCCTTCTCCGTCACGTCCATCTCCACTTTGTGCAGCACGTCGTTGGCGTACAGGCCCGGATTCACGAGACTCCCACCGTTTCGCAGATTGTCCAAGCCGTAAAAGGGGAAATTTTGCGACCGTATGAATCTCAAGAAGTTCTCGTCTATGGGTCGGCTCTGTCGTCTACTTCTGCTCTTCGTATTTCTCTCGGCATTCCGGAAGCGATAC